CACCCAACCTCCCTTCTGGCTCCTCCCCAGTGCTGGCTGCCCGGCTGGGCCAGGGGCCAGCAGCTCCGAGCTGCCCAGGAGTGGCTGTGCCCTGGCGGCTCCGATGGGTGCCCCCTCCACATGCCCTCAGCCCTCCCCCTGACCCAGCCTGGCTCCCAAGGTGCTGCGTGGATCCAAATATGACCTGTCCTCCCCGGGCGGACAGCACCGTCAAGCTCTGTGGGGGGAGAGCCCACCCCGCCGCCCCCGGGCTGGACTGCACCTTCGCCTGGGGGCCTAGCCAGGGCCCTTCCTCCCGCTTGGAGCGTTGCCCAGCGGAGCCGCTGGAAGCCATCAACCCGGCGCCCCGCATCCCTGGTGCGGAGTCTCTCGTAGACGCCCAGGGCCCCTGCCGTGGACGAAGCCCGGCCCGCGGGCCGCAGACCCGGGCGCCACCCACGCTTCCCGCTGCTCCTGCTCCTGACGCCGCTGCAGCCTCATGACCCGCGCGCTCTGAAGAGGTGAGCGGAGCAGGGGGCTCGCCGGGAGCGCGTTGCCGGCTGCGGGCCTCTTTCTGACGGACTGTGGTGGACGGGGCGCCTGGTCAGGCCTCGTGACCCCCTCACAGACGGATGGGGAGCCCGGATTCGCCCGGGAAGTGGACACGGTGGGAGACAAGAGGATCAGAGCGCAGCTGGCGGCCGATGCCCGAGGCCTGAGCGGCCAAAAGAGCCCGGCCTCCTGGGCACCGGGGCCCGGACGCGGCCTGACCGGACACGGCATCTGCCTTCGTGGGCGGATATGTGTGAGCACCTACTGTGCACCGGCACCGAGCGCACTGGGCGCAGAAGCAGCGACCGGCCCTGCCCTGCGATGACCATCGGGTTCACCAGCCACGGACATGAAAGTCAAAGGGGCCAGCCGTGGCCTCTGGCTGCGAGAGTCCGTGCCCTGAGGGGACCCCCAAGTCCCCGGGGGAGGCCCCACTGAGAGGGGAGAAGCTCGCTGTGTCAGCTGAGCGCCTCCCCGGGAACGCGCCCGGCCTGCGGGAT